CAGGGAAGACAAAAACGGCAGGGGGCATGGGGGGTGAAAAAATCAACAATTTAACAAGTTAAAAGGTTGGGTTTTGGGCCCCCCCCCCCCCGCTATCCAAAGCAAACAAAGCCACGCGCCTGATTGTGTGCCAACCAAGAGCTCACCTCTTCCACCAACGGGCTGACGGCCTGGGTCTTGAAGTAGCCGTCCTTCATGCGCTTGAAGCCACCCTCCGAGGCGCTGCGGCTAAGGTACAGAGGCAGATCTCCCAGTTGAAGGTACATCTGATCAAAACACATCCGGTTCGATTCCAGTTCGTCAGAGGGTAATAACGGCGCAAGGTTTTTGATATCAATCACAGGCCTTCTAAAGGCGACGTTGGGTGCTCGCGTAGCGTGTGCACCCAAAGCGAAGCGTGTGGCACCGAAGGATACGGGTACATACTACGTACAGCAGTAGCGGAAGAAGAAAGAGGTCGAGTGCCTTCCTTTCGTCGTACCTCAACTACGAAAACGCCAGACTAAGGTGGAAACCCGAGACACCGTGTACCACCACGCATCAACAGTCAAACGGCTAGGTTCTTCACATCCAACTACGCGAACACAAACAGCTCCCAGTGCCCCGCACGTTGACCCCCCCCCCCCCCTCTCGAACCACTCCCCTTCTTAACTAGACTGAGGGCACGATCGAGAACGGCCTCTTGCCCCCTCTCCCCTGTCACGACCCCACTTCTTACCTGGCCCGACAGCACGATCGACAACAGACGCTTGCTCCCCCCCCTCCCCCCCCTCTCGAACCACTCCCCTTCGTGCCTGACCGGGAGCATGATCGCCTCTTGCTCCGTCTCGAAAGGGACGGGTGGTCAATGGTCAAATGATTACGGCAAGCAACAAATGAGTACGCCCCCCCCCCTCCCACGACTCCCCTTTTTACCTGACCCGGGAGCATGATCGAGAACGGCCTCTTGGCGCGCTTGGCCGAGGGCCAGAAGCGGTACAGCAGCCCGGCGTCGCGGCCGCTCAGCTCGTCCTTGAGATCCACCATGTGTTCCGGCACCAGCTCCGTGCACACGCTCCCGAAGAGCTCCTTGTTCCACTTGCCGTGGGCTACCCGAGGGGCTCGAGGGGGCAAGCTCGCTGCAAGACCAAATAAACGAGAGGGGGGGGGGGGGGTACATAGGTTGCACACAAACGTGATGGTCGCTACTGTCGTTGTTGTTGTCTTCACAAGACACGTATTGCTCTGATCTATCATATTGACGGAACCCTATTTATGCGGGTGGGTGTTCGAAGGAAGCAGCAGCATACAGAGAAGACGAGGGACCCAGTCTTCTTATAATCGGAGGCTTAGTTTTAGCGCGCTCTTGAAATCTAGCGGGGGGAAATTAGAGCGGACAAGGGCACAGCTATGGGGGTATTTCGTGCACAGAGACGCCGGAGTATACAGTCTACGACTTACAGCAGTACATTGTTGGTTTACCGTAGGTTGCATGATGTAAGATATCACACCCCCTGGACCGATTTTCAAAGCTCGATTACTCCACGACGAAGAGGATGCCGAAATCAAAGGATATGTTTTCGGAAAGCTCTCGACGAGACGGTTTTAACGCCGCCATTTTCGGCATCGTCACTGTTTGTCCTGCCGAGAAATTGAGCTTCGAAAATCGGTCCAGGGGGTGTGATATCTTATGCAACCTACGGTAGCCTCGTGGAAACGCCAACCACAACAAAAGCCAGCAACCTGGGAGAATTACAAAACGTGCTACGACCGAAGAACCCGAGAGCTAAGAACTTCCAGGCGAAAACAGATAGAAACTTGAGAAGTTGACCATAAAAACAGGTGCCCAGCTAATAATCCTACACTACAACCTTTATAGTCTGTTGAGTTACCCCCATAGAGGAGACAAGAGCTGCACAGCCTGGCAACATATCAGGTCCTCAAGCGGTGGCGCGTGCTGCAGTCGAGAGGGACAAACAGCAGCCCTCCCGAAGCCGTGGCGATGCACTGCCGCTCAACGTTTGCCCTACAGGCTTGATAGATAAAAAAGCCGTGGCGATGCACTGCCGGTCAACGTTTGCCCTATAGGCTTGACAGACAAAAAAAGAGAGAGCGCGGAAGTTTTCTGGGAACATACCTCTGTTGTCTTCCAGGCTGTCCATGACAAACGAGGCCTTGCCTCCTCTCCTCGACACGAAGAACGGCCCGTCGATGTGGAACGGTAGGCCGGTGAGAACGGAAGAATCCTGTCAAGAGGACATGACATGAAGAAGAATCACAAAGCCGGATGCAAGAACGACGGAACGGGGGGACCGGGGGGGGGCACGGGGGGCAGTGGATGAGAAACAAGAGTCACGACGAAACCTGTGCTACTGAAGACTTGTGTTCCACCCTGTGGATCCACCTTTAGGATGTACATTGGGGTTGAAAAAAACTGCACGATCGGGAGAGAAGGGGAAAAAAAATCATAACCACGTGTCTTTTTTCGTGTGGAGACCCTATGTTTCGAAAGAAACTACAAGAGCAGAATTTGCAAGAAACCTACAGCAAGATTGCTGAAGCACGTCAAGTATGTATCACGGGTGAGGAGGTGGCGGATGCACACGTGAAATAGTCCAAGCCGTCAGATGAGATGAGAAAGGACAACACGGGCGGGGAGGGGAGAGAGAGCCAGAGAGAGAGAGGGGGGGGGGAGAGGCAGAAAAAAGGCATAACAAGAAGAGAAACAGAGACATACAACGGCTACTGAGGGGACAAGAGAGACACACATAAAAGAGAGGGAGACTCGGGGCACAACTCGCCTGGCCGATAAAGATTCTTCCCCGGACGGCAGGCGTCTCTTGAGCGCGCCGCTGCCCGTCGACGGTGATGCTTCGGTGCACGAGGGATGCGCACGTCATGAGTGGCGTCAATCCCTCCCCCTCGAACTCCGCCGACAGCGCGAGCTTTCTCGCCTGCACGGGAAAGGACAAAGCGAGGGATAAAAGGAGGTACAATACAGCCAGGGGGTGAAAAAGAGGCACAGAGGGAGAGAAGAGGCAGAGACAGAGAGGCAGAAAGAGAGAGAGCCTATTGGCAGGGACAGAGAGGGGCAGAGGCAGGCAAAACAGGATGTACGCACGTACATGGGATGCAACGAAGCAGGAAACGTATCTACCGAGATGACTTCAGACCGAAACAGTTTTCAATAAGAACGCTCGCCTCTTCCAACACCTTCACAACCGTTGAAAAAGGAAAAAAAAAAAAAAGAGAGAAGAGAGCGAGCCAGCAGCTGGTATCGGTCAGACACGCAAAAAAACAACCAAGTCCACAACACCAAAATTTCTTGCCAACAAAGAGCACACAAATATCTCACCTCAGGCGGCGCCAGCACGTACGACAGCACCCACATGTCCTCCACTTCCTCCATGCGACGGCGGCTTCTCTCCCCTTCCGCCCACCCCCCACCCCCTCCACCTCCTGCTGCTGCCTTGTTAAACTTATTGTCGTCGTCTCGCCTCTCGTCTCTCCAAGACGAGGTGCACACGCTGAGCTTGTAGCACCCACGGGGCGCCGGGAATCCCCGTATGTACACGTTCAGGCTCGACTTGCGCCAATCCGTGTTGGAGACGGCACCGCGCCGCTGCTCGGTGATAGACCGGGGGGGTTGGATGGTAAGCATAAGCGGGGGGGGGGGGGGGGGGGGAGGTTTCCACTT